TCACTATTCTGCCCGGCGTCAATATGTCTAGCTTTCTTTCAAATCCTTCTAACAAAGTAACTTTATCATGATATTTACTCCATTATTGAATTTCATAAATCTAAATTGATTATGATATTGATAACATATTTGTGAAGTGTTTATAAAATATTTAAATGCTAAAAACTTATGGGTGATCAATAGTGAAGTAGTATCATGAGCAGGGGCAGAGCCGCAGAGGGCTTAGGGGGTAAGGCCTAGCCCTGACCTCTCCCTACACCTTTGACCATGAGGGAAGGGTGAATACAATCGTCGGGGAATGAAGTAGAATGTGAAACCATAAGCTCCCAAATAGTAGAATGAGCCAAGTCTCTGTAAATAGATAGAAATGTGTATGTGATAAGTGAGTAATACTTGAAAGTCCCATAAAATATGTTGATAATAAGTTATTTGGGCCCTGTTTGTTTCTGATTCTCAAATCAATTCTCAAATCAATTCTCATTTTCAACCACACATTCTTCAATAAAATAATATTTTCCATCACATCAATACTTTTTTCTTCTTTTTCAACCACACATTTCCCATCATATCACTATTCAAAATCAATTCTTCCCCCAAAAATCCNACACATTCTTCAATAAAATAATAATTTCCATTACATCAATATTTTTTTCTTCTTTTTCAACCACACATTTCCCATCATATCACTATTCAAAATCAATTCTTCCCCCAAAAATCCCTACCAAACAGGCTCTTGATCTATTATAAATAACTTAAAACATTTGCCAAAATGGGCTAAGTTGACAACAAAACTCTGATGTGGCCTAAAGAAGGTGAATATTGATATACATTATCAGTTTATGTGGCAGTAAATCCCTTTCATTAGATAATGAATCATGGAGCTCGTTGTCATGTAGACTGGTATGGATAATGAATAGCATTACTCGAAAGAGATTTTAATTTTTAGTTATTTCTCTCGATTAATTTTATGTAGTTCCAGTGGTGCTTACCCATCTAGATGACATCAAAAACTTGTTTGGGAGAGTTTAAATCAAATCACTATTAGTCAAATATATTTTTTTATTCGCACATTTTGCCTAACGATTAAATTATGTTGGATTTTAAGCGTAAAATAACATAGAAGTGAAATAGAGAAATCAATACAAATATTTAACGTGGTTCGAAAATGTGCCTACGTCTACAAAGAACGAATCAGATATTTTACTCAATATGAATAATATGGTTATATCATTAGTATCTATACTCTAGCCCAAATCCAGACCCATACAGAACTTTATGGTCCGTACAAGAAAAATTATACGCATATACCGTTAGCGTCATTGGCAAACTAACAGTGAATTAAACCTAAAAGGCGGATGCCGTCGCTCCGCTTCACTCTGGCATCGGCCAATTTGATCCAATAGTCCTATGTTCCCTTCTATATGAACCACATATACAATAACTTAATTAAAACTCTCCCGAACAAGCACATATATCCAATTAAATATGCCATATATCTTTAAGATAGTATTATTCATGAAAAATGTTGAGGTGTCGTAACTTTGACAATATAAATGACTTCAATAAGAGGATGTCAGACAATTTAAATAAATAAATAAATTTTACCTAACAACTTTAAATTATTTCAATTACACGTTCAACATTAAATACAAAATGAAAAATATATTAGGAACCTATTTCTATAGCGTAATGCTATCTAGTATTAGTGGTGTTAGATCACCAATTTATGTAACATTATGTGATAGATTCAATTAAATGTGAAATTTTGTGATTAATTTAATTGAGCATTTCATTTAATGATACCTAAATTCATCTTAGACTGATATTATAATATTACTCATTTCTATACGTCTGACTATAATTGCATCCCGATATAGAGATGGACGAAATGGATAGAATCAAAGCAATGCAAAAAGAACCTTTCTTCAGAGAAGAAGACAGAGAGTTTGACTGAAAATAAATTGAGACGTCAGACGTGACGTCAAGAAATTTCATGGTCACGTGTAGTATTAGCAACTTCCCAGGTTAATGATAAATTAGTTTCTGTAAATTGTTTTATATGTCAACCCCACGCTGTCCATTGGACCATCCCTTATATTTTTTTTTTTCATTTTTTTTTCTGCTTAATTAAATTTTCACATTATGTACCTTCGCTTTCCATGCGTGACACAAATTTGGCTGTGTTTGGGCACAATATCATATTGGTAAGAGGTTAGGTGAACAACATCAGACATTAATGAACATTGGATTTAAATTCAACCATATTGAATAAGTATGTTCGGTAAGACGTTGTCATCTTGAAAAAATAAAAGTATCTAGCCGATACGCATTCCCACTACTAGATTAACTACATGCACTCGTACAAAAATAGCTAATCAAGTCAGTTCACCATAAATTATTCTTATAATCTTTACTTGAGTATTTATGCCTAGAAATGTGGACGAACTACTCAACTTATTCCTGGCCTCAAACTTAGTTATGTGAACGCGCAAGGCGGTGGACGGGAAAATCCATGATTGAATCTTAACCGGGTGTGTTTCACGTAGGACAAAGGCCTCTAACACAATCAAAGAGTTAGTTTTTGATAGAGTAAGTAATACTTTCTAATTTGAGGAAGAGAAATAGATAGTGTTGAAAGAGGGAACTTCCATTTTCGCATAAAATCATTGTTTGAAATGCAAAATAATATTTTTTATGGAGGTGTTGGGCTAAAAAAAAAAAAAAAAATTCAGGGAGAAAATTTTTTATTAAGATTTTTTTTATCCTTTCGGCTCCGCCCCCTTTTTTTAAATTTTAAACGGACTCAAGGCTTATCTATGATGCACCGACACTGACATGTGTATCCGACATGATACATGTTGGATACGCCGATACATGATTTTTTAAAAAAGTACAGACATGACACGTCATCGACACGTTGATTAAATTCTTAAAAATTCTTCATTTATATAGTATAAATTTAGTTTTATACTTGTTATTAATTTTTCTTGTTAAAATCTTTTACATATGAGTACCTATTTGTTACTTGCTAATAATTTTGAATTAATAATATATAAT